AGATATCAAGAACATTATCCATGAAGAAAGCAAGAGATCACTAAAAAGACAAGAAAAGAAGAGAAGACCAAAGTGGATGACAGAAGAGACTCTGAACCGTGCCCTTGAGCGGAGAATCGCTAAAGCATTTTATATATAGCCCCTATAAACAAAATTGTCCTGCATAAAACTAAAAACTTTTGATTTTATTCTTCAAGCTTTTGATTATTCCATGTTATCCCTGACTCCAGTGTCCACATTTCTTAGACATTCAAAATCAGTTTGAACTCTAGAAGAATGTCTAGTACTTACATTTATTTTGGCTTAATTTTACATTATAATGCCATTTTCAGATTATTTCTAAGAAATTTCCAAGTATCAAGCTTGATTCAAAAATAATAATAATAATTTAACATCTATTACCCTGTTCTAAAAATTCTATAACTATTTGTGTTATGCATAATTTTCTGTGAATACGTAACTTCTAGAAAATAAATATTTTTGTTTATTTCAAGTTCAAAAAAATCATTTTTATAAGCAAGTGAATCTGAGCCCATAAACAATGATTCTATGTAATTCATATACATGATATAAAAAAAAGATTCCCTAAATTAACAGACAATACCTATCTTAAATGAACACAACAGTTGCTCAATAAAATGGCATTGTAATAATAAATATTTTGTGTGGCACAACACTCTGTATCAATTTACTGATTGATGATTCTACAGTTGTTAGTAAATGTTTACTGCACCCACAGGTCAATGGTTTTATGAGCCAAGTTCTCTGATTTAGTACTGCGTGGTCAAGCCAAAAAGCGACATGCTTTTTTTCACAAAGATTAAAATGGTGTTGATGCTTGAAACTACAAGTTCCATGGAGTAAGGCTGAAGTAATTTATCAAGTTAGCTGAATATCCCACTAAAAATGCCATGTCCGATTTAAAAAAAAAAAAAAAGTTGATGGCTGGGTTGTAAATTCATGCTGACCAATGTGGCCTAAGTAGGAGGAAGAGCAGATGTTTCAATGCCTATTCTTTGAAACTCAGCATAAGGCTGAGCTTCAGAGCCTTAAAAAGATAACAGATCTGAAATAATTCATGGCAGTGGGATTACTGATATTTAAACAGATGTCACTTTTTTATGCAAATGAAAATCAAAGTACAGATGGCGAGGGTTGGTATGTTTTAGAGTAGCCATTATAGATTAAAAATCTACATGTGGGAAATTAAATATCACAAAATATATAATGATGTCCATATTTTTCCCCATCTGAAATGGAGAAGAATTTACTGTAGGTCCCTGGCTCCTGGTTAACCTAGAGAGACAGAATTTCTCTGGGCCTCTTTTTCACTTCCTTTTAATGAAATATAGGAAGAATCCCCCTTCTTCTGGGTACAGCAGAATTGTTAATTATCATAGTAGCAAATATCAATTATAAAGACAATAGTAAATACTTGTACCTCCATATCAAGAACTTTATGAAAAATAGCCTGGGCTAAGCACTCTCGGATATATTTTTGGTGATCTCGCTTCATGATATTTAGTTTGTATTCTTTTTCAGAAAGTATTCTTCCACTTCTTGTGATCTGTCATGAACAAATTAAACATACACAGAAATACAAAATAGAAAATTTGTTGTTAGTTGCCAAAAAAGAAGGTGAGCAAGAGAAAGAGAGAAAGCAGCAGTTATCTTCTAAAGGAGATCAGCACTACAGTTGATAAACTTTCACTTTTAATGAATATTTCATTAGGCAAAAAGGAGCCAGCTCATACACGCATCATTGTGAAAACACACAGGTGGCACACTTGATGTTTAAAACAAGGTTTTCATTAGAGTAACAATTTTTTCTTGATGGAACCCAGGTGTGCTTTTCATTTCTGTTTTGAACGCATTCCGGGAAGAAGGGGAGGAGGGCTACCTTGAAACAAAGAACAGGAGCAGTGATCACAGGACTGAGGCTCTCACAGGAAATGCTTGGAAGGGCAAAGTGTGTGAACTACAAAGGATCTCATCAGTTTGTTTTTTAAAATAATTGGTTTTATTACTTTGTTTTCACACTGTGCTTCCTTCTTCCACTCTCCAGGCCAAATGTAATTTAATTTGCCTTGATTTGGAATCTTATGAGGTAGGCAATACTGTAGATACAAAGTATCCAATATGGGCTTCAAGGGGCATCAAAGTGGCATATGTGTTATATTTTTCTATGTCTCCAATAAATGGATGGGTATTATCCTTCCTGGATTTCTCTTCTTCCTTTCCACTTATTTAAGCCTTACTTTTCCTTATAGGACTAGATTAACACCTTGTATTTCTTCTTAATTTTGTTCTTAAGTTTGATAACTATCATTTCAACACTGTTGTTACAACACATTGGAGTGTTGAAATCGACTAGAGTTATGCTATGGGTGACTTATTTTGGATAATATTTTATACACACACACTTATCTATATCTCTATATATAGATAGATAGAAGCATTTCCAATGGAAGAAAAGGGTATAGATGAATGTGTGCTTAGAATTGCAAACAACCCAGTCACAGTCTTTGAAATGTGTTGACCACAGAGATATCTTGTCATGTTTCAGATTGGGAAAATGTGTTGCGAGCATTCTACACTTACACTCCCTTGGCAGTTTACATGTCATTGTGCTCTTTCCTCTGGGAGTATATCTGTTCTCCCCAACTAGACTGGAAGCTCCTTTTAGACAGAGGTCCTCAAACTTCAGCTTGCATCTGAATCACCTTGAAGACTTGCTAACAGAGTAATGGGCCCAAGCCTAGAGCCTACCATTCAGTAGGTCTGGAAAGGGGCTCCAGAATTCACATTTTTTAACAAATTCCCAGGCGATGCTGAACACTGCTAGTTCAGATGCCACATCTGTATCACTGCTCTAGGGAAATGTGTTATCTTCCTTAGCTGAGTTGCCATGCATGTAGTCAGTGTTCAAAAAGTGTTTGTTAATGATGTTGGTAAGTAAATACAAAGTCCCTACTAAATATACCTGAAGCTGACAGATTGTTATCCAAAGAGGCAATGATAATAATAATAACAATAATTACAACAACCATTTATTGTCACAACAATCCTGAGGGCTGGGTATCATTATCCTCATTTTTCAAATAAGCAAGTTGCGGCTGAGAAAGTTAAGGGATTTGTACAAGATTCTATGTCTTATAAATGGAAGAACCAGGGTTTCAGCCTACTTCTGTCTGATAATAAAGCCCCAGGAGACTAAACACAAGCTCTTTGAGATCTACCCAGCTAGAATGACATGCACGTACACAATTAGAAACGCAGTGCATGGCCTTTCAAAACCATGGCAACAATAGTTAAGGAAACTGTGTTTTAAGAAAGTAAACAGCTAAAATTATTAGTCACACACTTTCTATAGCCACACACCTTTCTTTCAATAGAAAACTACAATATTTTCAAAAGGTTTTCACATGTATTTGGGGAAATGGGAATTTTGTGGAAAGGACAGTTTGGGGGCTATTGAAAGGCCTAAATATATCAGTAAATCACCACAGAAAGTGAGTTTTTAAAACTTCAAGGGGAAATTTGAACTGCTCATATCATTCACTATATCCTATGATTATTAAAAACAATAAATTGACTCTAACAGCTACATGTATATGATGGCATCCATATTACATTCTGGAAAAGATCAATAGTTACCAGAGTTGGAGGTGGAGGGAGGGAATAAACTACAAAAAGGACATAAGAGAACTTTTGGGAGTGATGGAAATGTTCTACATGTTGATTGTTGTGGTGGTTACACAACCATGTAAGTTATGTTAGTAGAGATGTATAGCTAAATATTTACTATATGTAAATTATACTTCAATAAACCTGAAATTTTTCTTAAAAAAGAAAACATATTTTTTCCTGCCAACAGTAAAGTAACAGTTCCTAGCTTACAGAAGGTGTTGAAAAAAGAGTGAATAAACAAGTAGATGAAATATCCTGTAGGAAACTTTGTTGTTATTGTTGTTATGTGCCGTCGAGTCGGCCCCGACTCATAGCGACCCCTCCTTGGGTTTCCGAGGCAGTATCACTACGGAAGTAGGATTGCCCAACCTTCCTTCCGAGGAGTGGCTGGTGGGTTTGAACCGCCAGCCGTCTGGTTAGCAGGTAAGTGTCTTAGCCACTATGCTACCAGAGCTCCCGTAGGAAACTTATAGGGACTTATTTTCAATAATTTGTTTCCTTAGCTGTCATTGTGACCTCTCTCTACATCTTTTGAGATATGCTTTTAAATAGATAAATCAGAGCTTTGAAAAGGAAGTAATTTTTCTAAACAAGAGATGAAAAATAATGTCATTGATTAGCACAACAAGGAAACCTAAGAAAGTGGGAAATTATTGGGCTTAATGAAACAAGAGGGTGACTAGAAAGTAAATCAAATCTTACCAGTCCTGATCTTAAAAGATGCCGCCTTATCCTTGTATTGTTAAAATATCCAGCCAAGTGTTTATCCGTAAGGCTATTATATGCTGCAAGCAATCTGAAACAGAAAAATCAAACCATTAGTGTTTTATGAAGTGTTGTTTGATAGCTAAGGCATTTCTTGACTTTCCAGTCCCCAACTGTGCATAACCATTCACTCATCCAGCAGCCAGTCATTCATGTATGTATTTAATTAACGTGTATTAAGCACCTACTGCTTTTTAGATTTTATGACAGGAAATGAGATACAGCCTTGACTTTGGTTATCCCAAGTATGGAAATCAGGCATGAACCATTAAATTAGGTATGAAAAGTCCAATAACAGAGATATAAAAAAGTATATTTTACATGGGTACACAGAGGAGGGGATACCCCAGCTCTAAGCCACTGCCAGACAAAGCTTCATAGAGAAAGTATGATGGAAAATTAGGGGCTCCTTTAAAAGATTCTTTGGGCTCTCAACTTTGAAGAAAAAAAACAGTTGCCCTCTGTTTTGGTTCTCTTTGGGGTGGGGGCTGTAATGAGAGGCTGGATGATGTTAATGTACTCTAACAGTCACAGGGTTGGATGAGTTGGAGTTGAATCAAGGAGGGTGTTGTTTCTGGTTCTTTCTTTGGTTCTAAGGCATTTGACTGCTAACCAGAAGGCTGTCGGTTCAAACTCACCAGTCAGTCCTCGGAAGGAAGATTGGGCAATATACTTCCATAGTGATATTGCCTCAGAAACCTAAAGAGGGGTTGCTATGAGTCAAATCTGACTCAACAAGAGTGAGAGAGAGATAGAGTGCTGCTCTAACAGAAATGTGTGACTTTAACAAACAGATTTATTTTTTTACAATTTAGGAGGCTAGAAGTCTGAGTTCAAAGTAGGGGCTAGGTGAAGACCCCTCCACCTTGGGCTTCAGCCCTGACTCTTGCTCTTGGTCCACAGGAGCTAGAGGTCTCTCTCAGCTCAGGTAGCCACTGGATGCTGAAGCTGACAAACCCAAGGTTGACAAATAAGAAGGTACAGTCCTGATGTTACCAAACCACACAGCAGGTCACTGGTTCAAGTCCAAGAACAATCCTAAGATTGGCAGATAGCATGGCAGGCTGATGAATGAAGATTTAGCTACATGCAAGGTCCATGCATGCCCAAAACTCCAAGACTTTGCTCAATGCTTCTCCTTATATACAGAAAGCAGACCACATCCCTAAAGCAGCTACTCAGCTCCTCAATGCAGATTCCACCATGGAGTTGATTACCAGTCTCATCATGGGGAATAACAACATCCAACTGCCCAATCAAAACTAGGCCCAGCCAAGCTCACATACAACTTAACTACCACACCCTCCTTGATTCAACTCCAACTCATGCAACCCCATGAGTGTTAGAATACATTAACACCATCCAGCCTCTCATTACAGCCTCTTCCTCCTTCCCCCACCCAAAAAAAAAAAAAAAACCCATTGCCCTTAGAGTTGATTCTGACTCATAGGGACCATTTTATTACACACTCTAAACTCTGAGAACCCAAACTTACTGCACTGCCTCAGCATGTTCTTTTCTCTTATGCCTTCAGGACAAAACACACCACTGTGAAGACCTGTCCCTCACCTGTCAGCTAGTGGAGGGCACCTGAGATACACAAATATCACTTCCTGGAAACTGTCCCTTGATGGTGTTACATTCTGCCCACCTCCACAAGATCTTAGCTACAGGACACGTATCACAATATGACATTGCTTATGTTTTTGTCTCTGCTAAATTTTAAATTTTGAGTGCATTATTCTTAGTAACCCTTAAGGAAAAAAAAAAAAAAACACTGCCACTGATTAAATTCTACCTTATAGTGACGCTATACAACAGAATAGAACTGCCCCATAGAAGTGCTCCCATAAGCTTTCCAAGGCTATAAATCTTCACAGAAGCAGTTGTTGTTGTTATTTGCCATCAAGTTGGACCCGACTCATAGCGACCCCTCCTTGTGTTTCCAAGGCAGTATCACTACTGAAGTAGATTGCCCCATCTTTCTTGCGAGGAGTGGCTGGTGGGTTTGAACTGCCAGCCTTCTAGTAAGCAGTCAAGTGCCTTAGGCTGATTTTTCTCCACCAGAGTGCTTAGCAGGTTTGAACCACAACCTTTTGGTCAGCAGCCAATGTTTCAATGAAAGCATCACAGAGCTCCTTTAGTAAGCCCAGTTGATAGCATTTATTGCATACCAAGTAATGAGTGTTCAGTACATCAAGTGATAGTTTTGCTTGCTTATTGGTATAAATACCTAACTAAGTTTAAACTCAGCATTTTAAGAGTGTTAGATTCCTAATACACATCCAAATCATTTCATTAATTCCTCATTTAGCACCAGGAGCAAAAAAAATCATGGATCTTTAGGGACTTTTATTTTAAGAGTTAAAGTAAGTCATACCAGTCCATTGACTATATGTTGGCCAGTCTTAGTCTATAAATCAAAGTTAGAAATTATTTTTGCAAATTTTTATCCTTCCTTCCTTCCTTCAATATTCTATATCTCATGAACATATATATATATATATATATACACACACACACACATACATATATAGGTATGTATGTACATATATTTCTACATATATACACACACACACACACACACATACATATATAGGTATGTATGTACATATATTTCTACATATATACATAAATATGTGTATGTGTGTATAAGGAGCCCTGATAGCATAGTGTTTAAACAGTCAGCTGCTAACTGAAAGGTCAGTGGTTCAAGTCACCAGCTGCCCTGATGGAGAAAGATGAGGCAGTCTTCTTTCAAAAGATTATAGCCTTGGAAATCTTATGGGTCAAGTTTTTGAGCTCTAGTGGCATCGTGCCTAAGACATTTGACTGTTCACCAGAAGGCTGGTGGTTCAAACCTACCAGACTCTCCTCAAAAGGAAGGTTGGGTAATCTACTTCTATAGTGATACCACCTAGGAAACCCAAGGAGAGGTCGCTGTGTGTTGGATCTGACTCCATAGCGGTGGGTATAAGGTTGCTAAGGATCTCTGGTGGTGTAATGTTTAAGGCAATTGGCTGCTAACCAAAAGATCAGTCATTCAAACCCACCACCCCCTCCATGGAAGAAAGATGAGCCAATCTGCTTCCATAAAGATTTATAGCCTCTGAACCACAATGGGGGTTGCTATGAGTCAGAATCAACTCCATGAAAGTCAGTTTGGTTTTGGTTTAATAGGGTTGCTACAAGTCAGAATTGACTTGATGGTACAATAACAACATACATGCATATATACAAATATATATAGAGAGAGAGACAACATGTAAACAACACAGCCCTAAATTAAAGCTGCCTTTTAAAAGAATAATAATAATGCATATGCTCTGGTAGCATAGTGCCTAAGGCATCTAACTGCTAACCAGAAGGCTGGTGGTTCAAACCCACCAGCCACTCCTCGGAAGGACAATGGGGCAATCTACTTCCGTAGTGATACTCCTCAGAAACCCAAGGAGGGGTCGTTATGAGTCAGGTCTGACTCGATGGCACATAACAACAACAACAACATTACCTGCAACAAAGATTCACAATGCATACATACATTTCATGCATGGCTGTTCCTTAACTTATTCTGGCACCAGAGCAGAGACTCGTATCATAGAGTTAAGCATATGGTGGGTGATTAGCAATGATTTTATTTAGCTCTTTGCACTATATTCTTTACATGGAGATGGTATTGGTGACCTTTTCCCATCTCCTTTCTCCTTTATAGACCATCACCAGAAAGTTGCACGCTGTCAAATGGTAAGGAAAGTTTAATTTTGTCAAAAAAAGAGACGAAAAACAGTTACAAAGCCCAGAAGCCAAGGTGCCACATGAGGGTTGCAGACATATGAACAACTGCGGAAGCCATTATTTCACTGGGCTTATGTAAAAAGACAGCCTGAGGGCTTTAGTAACACACACTCAAAACCTGCGACGGATAATGCTTTGAAACCATCTTTTAAATGAACTGTCTGGGTGTCCTATAGTTCATCAAAGGTTTCCTGTCTCCGAAAGGTCAACGTTGTATCCCTTACCCTTTCTGAATCTCAGAATATTTTTTCAGCTCCTCATTTCAGAAAGGTGAGCAGGTGTCTCTGAGTTCTAACAATCATGATTCCACAGTTCACAGATTCTTAAGATAAATCATTAGAGTGGTATCATATATAATCTTTTGTCTGTTTTTCAGGCTCAAGCTTTAAAAAAATACTTTTGGAATAGCTGGGAGTGCTAAAACCTTGATTAAATGAAATGGGTCAAAAAGTTAGGATAACGTGGACTTCAACTTCCTTATTGACTGATAAAATAGTTCCTTCTTTGAATTCAGACTTCGTAACTTTTTTAATAATTAGGTCCTGGTTACAATGTTTGGGAGTTCCTGGTGGTGGAAACGGTTTATACGCTCAGCTGCTAACTAAGTGATTGTGGGCTTGTGTTCACCTAGCAGTGCCTCAGAAGATAGTCCTAGCAATCTACTCCCCCAAAATTAGCCAGTGAAAACCCTATGAATGACAGCAGCCCAAGCCTGTTGTGTATGCGGTCATCACGAGTCAGGGCCAACTCAACAGCAGCTAACTAACAACAACAATGCTTAGTCAGCACTGGCACTACCTAAATGTTTATTCTGATGTCTCAGGCACCTACCAAATGAATATGTGTTATGTCCCTTCCTTCTAACTGCAGGGTTCTAGTAAGTCCATTTTGGATAAAATCTTTCCATACATCAGTTTTCTTACCTTTACCTAATTAAGAATAATCAAGTTCCCTGCCTGGGATGCCATTTACAAAACAACTCCTTCCAAGACTGACATCACAAAATTAGCCTTGGCAGCACAGCTGAATAATAACTAGCTGTGTCCACTCAGACTCAGTTACTTCCTTTTTCAGACAATGCTTGAACTGGGCTTTTTAAATGAAACTTTAGAAATACAGGAATTTTTTGACAACAAGAAATTCACACCAGAGTAAATCATACACAGATTTTGTAAAATGACTCATCCTCATATTTCCACCACATACTATACAGATATTCTCCCCATTCTGACCATCAAGCCTGCTTCACCAGAGACATGGTCATGATCTTGTATATGTTGGTGTCTTGACCACAACTTTGGTTTACCTGATCCTTTCTGCTCTAGTCCTCTTCATATGTGCATGATGTGGAATTGTAGCCTCCCGGTGAATTTACTTAATTGCAAGAGCTTTGTTAAGCAAGCCACAAGCTATTAATAGAGCAATTCTGATGTTTCTGTCTTTGTCCTCTGCATTATCTGACACTGCTCTTTTCACTTTTCTTTACTCTTGCACTTTGTATAATCCTGGGCCAGATGAGATCACCTCACCCTGGGATCAGTGAATGCTTTGTCCCTTGACAACTCCACTCCCTTTCTTTGTTATTCCTTGCACCTGTTGTCAACATCGAACTACCTGGTCATGTTGCCCCAGTCCTTGTGGTCCCTAGCACTCTGTCTCCAGTGGTCATGGTAACCACCTGCCATGGTGACCACAAAGCCATGTTGTTGGCTCTAACCCTCACAATATCTGGCCAAACTGGCCCAACTTCAGATGCTTCTTCAGATGATAATCACAACTATTTATCCACTCACAGGTTCTCTGAATGGGGAAAGACCCACACTGTGACACAATGTACTAGGGAAAACAGTCCTCCAGGAAACAAAGCAATTCTTTTGTTGCTGTTTATGATGGTTCCGGCTTTATCCACTTCGACACATATCCTGCATCCCTGCAGTGCCTGAGGATTAGAGAAGCTGGCTGCTGAGTCATGAGTCAGTGTGAGTGCTCCCTTTCCAGCTGCTGCTTTTTAGCACTTAACCCTCAAACCCTTGCCTCCCACTGTGTAGAATATATTAAGTGTGGCTCTGTGGCAATAAAAGTCAGCAATTCCTATCAATCCCTCCATCTGGCCCCCAAAGAAGGGGAATCTGTCCTATAAAAACCTCAACTAAAAGGAGAGGCAATGTAATAGTTATTAATCACAAACATTTATTGAGCACTGACTATTTCTAGGGCATTCTGTAAGGTGCAGTAACATAGAGATTCCAGGAACACTGCACTCACAGAGCGTGTGATCTAGTGGGGAGATACACACACACGTTGTTGTTGTTAAGTGTCGTCGAGTTGTTTCTGACTCATAGCGACCCCATGCACAGCAGAACGAAACACTGCTCGATCCCGCGCCAGCCCCACAATCCCCGCTACACTTGATCCCATCATTGCAGCCACCGTATCAATCCATCTCGTTGAAGGCCTCTCCCTCTTTCATCGACCCTCCACCCTACCAAGCATGACATCCTTCTCCAGGGAATGGTCCCTTCTTACAACATGACCAAAATAGGTGAGACGAAGTCTGGCCATTCTTGCTTCCAAGGAGCATTCTGGCTGCACTTCCTCCAGGACAGATCTGTTAGTTCTTTTAGCAGTCCATGGTACTTTCAGCATTCTCTGCCAGCACCACAACTCAAAAGCATCAACTCTTCTTCCGTCTTCCTTATTCATTGTCCAGCTCTCACATGCACACGAGGTGATTGGAAATATCATGGCTTAGTCCTCAATGAGATATCCTTGCTCCTCAGCACTTGAAACAGTTCCTTCACAGTTGACTTTCCCAATGCTACACATCGTCTAATGTCCTGACTGATGCTTCCGTTGGCATCGATTGTAGAACCAAGCAATGTGAATTCTTTGACAACCTCAATCTTCTCTCCATTTATTGTGATGCTGCTCATTGGTCCAGTTGTGAGGATTTTTGTTTTCTTTATGTTGAGATGTAATCCATACTGCAGACTGTATTCTTCAACCTTCATCAGTAGGTGCCTTAAGTCATCCTCACTTTCAGCAAGCAAAGTTGTATCATCTGCATATCTCAGGTTGTTAATGATTCTTCCTCCAATCCTGATACCATGTTTTTCTTCATATAGTCCAGCTTCTCGGATTATTTGCTCAGCATATAGATTGAATAAGTGTGGAGACAGAATACAACCCTGACGCACTCCCTTCTTGATTTTAAACCATGTAGTGTCCCCTTGTTCTGTTCGAACGACAGCCTCCTGGTCAAGGTACAGATTCCTCATGAGTACAATCAAGTGCTCAGGGATTCCCATTTTCAATATTATCCATAATTTGTCATGATCCACACAATCCAATGCCTTTGCATAGTCAATAAAACACAAGTAAACATCTTTTTGGTATTCTTTGCCTTGAGCCAAGATCCATCTGACAACAGATATGATATCCCTTGTTCCATGTCCTCTTCTGAATCCAGCTTGAACCTCTGGAAGTTCTCTGTCAATATACTGCTGCAAACGTTTCAGAATTATCTTCAGTAAGACACACACACATAGTGGTAATTTTTTTCCTACATCAGAGACTAATTCATTCACAGATAGTTACTGAGCATCTCCATGTCAGACCCATTGTCATGAGCTGGGGAAGGCGTATAATACCCATAACCCAGTTTGCAGAGAACAAAGCACTTACACATATATAATTTCATTGGTCTATTTTAGGGCACTGGAATGTGAGCAGTATCTAACTATTGCAACTCTTCTATCTTCCTAACACCAAAAAGATCCAAAACAAGATTATTGTTTAATATGGGTCAAGTTCTAGGCAAAACTGAATAAGACAATGTTTTTTCATGGACCATATGGCTGGGGTCCTTTCCATTGGCCTGCAGCACCCTGTAACACCAACCTTCTCCCCTATCACTGCCCTTTCCCATACAGTCTACCCCTGGGGAGGAAAAGCAATATAGTTCTTAGGATACCAGATCTCGTTCACACCTGGCTGCATCATTACAGCTCTATAACTGTGAGCAAGCCACTTTACCTCCCTCTGCCTCAATTACTTTATCTGTAAAATAAAAATAATCAGAATTCCTATATCACAGGTTAAGGGAGAAACAAATGAGTTTTCAATCCTATTAATCTCTTCATGAAACAAAACTTTACCATGAAAAGTTTAGAACAGTGGCTGGTGCATCATAAACACTCAGTAATTGTTAATTATTGTTGTTATCCCCTCAGATTCTCTAGACATCCCAGAGTAAAGCATTATGAGCAATGAATTCACAGAAGAGTACAAATAACCAGTAAAATTCATATATATTAGATATATCTGTTTCAAAGAAGAAGTGTCAAAAGATATGTTCCAAGGACTGAACTACTTGTGGCATAATTTCAGGGACTGTGATAGCTGAGTAGAGAAGAAATTGTGGGAGGATTCTCTTATCCAGTGATGTGCCGATAAATGCTTAACAACCAGTTCTCTGGGAGAAAAAAGCATTTGCCAGTTTCTGTGGTGTAAATACTTTCACAGAAGCCAATTTCCAACTCTCCACTACAATACCACTGAATGTGGAGTTGGGAAGAGGTGCAGAGTAGTGCACTGTTATATAGTGTTTCCACTACACATATATAAACATAACTAACCTGCAAAACATAAATAATAGTAAGATGTAATAGTAAAATAATTAATAATAAATAATTATTAATAGTAAAATAATTAATAATAGTAAAATAATTAAAAAGCAATGAGTTTTGACTATCTGTTATTCTTGTTCTACAATAATGTTTTAGTTGTATAAGTTTATAAAATATAATTTTTAATAATGGCTATGTTTAACAACAGACTCTCAGAATTCCTGAAAAGTTAACAAATGTCTTTTTCAAGCTGGCATCATCACATCACTGCATGTCACAAGTGACAACGTGGGCAGTAGGCTATGAATGATGGACCTCATAATTTCAGTCCTGGAAATACCAGTTGACAAAGACACAAATGCATATATAAGTTATCTTTATAATTCCTGTCCTTTCTTGTATCTTCACCTAGTTTTCCGGTTCCAGAATCTTGGACTATCAGACACAGACCAAAATATACAAGGGAGGTGAAACTGTGGACAAAGTTGTGGTAGGAGGTAGTATATTCAGCTTGACTTGTGGGATGTTTCCAAAACTGGACCCAAGGGAAGAGTAGGAGAGAGAAGCCTCCCTGTCTCTCCTAGCTCCCGCTATAAGAAGCTGTGTCATGGACACAAATTGTGCGAGGGAATGCCAGGGTTTTTGCAACCAGTGTACTTAGGTGTTGTCAGTCCCTGAACCTTTGGACATGGAAACAACATCCATTACCCCTTCCCATTCCTGAAATATTCTCCAGTTATTGCTCACCTCCTCCTTCTGAATCTTTAGTCTCTTCATGAACTTTCAGAGGTTCCCTTGACCCCTGAACTGAGTCACTACAGCCTCCTCCCACTTCCACTGCCATCTGTAGCCAGGGCACCATCAAAGCACTCATTCAATTGGATTTAATTAATTGTTGATTATCTCCCCTGGTAGCTAGACCATGAGCTCCTTGAAAGAAAGGTAGTTTTGCAAAGGAAAATCTTTGACAAAATGTATACATTTTACTATAAAATCATCCCCAAGGGAGTAAACAGCCTTATTAATGATTTTAATATTTAATTAAACTGTACATTTATAATAATTTCATACTAAGTTTCTGTTGAGAAAGAAGTTGTAAGATATTCAAGTGAATGACATATGTAGAGGTCAGGACATAATTGATCTACTATATTCAAAAGAACAAGAACAACATTATATCAGCAGGAGAAGCAGCATCTATTATTTATTTTTCAAAGCAATATGTTCAGCTCTTTACATACTTTTTTTATTTCATGCACAAAATAACCTCAGAAAACAAAACAAAACAAAATCCACTGCCATAGAGTTGATCCCGACTCATAGCAACCCACATTAGGTTTCCAAGGCAGCAAATCTTTACAGAAGTAGATTGCTCCATCTTCTTTCATGAGAAGGTATAATTGCTCCTGTTTTGTGAATGAGAAAAATGAGCTTTAGCTTAAGTCATTTGCCAGAGTTCATACAATCTAATACTTGTTCCTGATAATATGTACCAGATCACAGTCAAACACCATTCACCAGGGCTTGTTAAGGTGAAGAATGGTAGATGCCAAGCATAATGATGGAAAAATATAAATCATGAAATATCCATTCACTACCACCACCAGTTGTGATTGGGGAGATTCGGACCAACGGTAGACAGATATCAGCAGAGGTTCCAGATTAAGGAAGACTAAGACTAAGAAGAAAACCATATGGATCATAACATGGCATTGTATGACTTACTTGCTCAGGACATATCATCAGGAGGGATCAATTGTTGGAGGACATTATGTTTGGAGAAGTAAAAGGCCACTGGGAGAAACCCCTGGTAAAATAAATAGACACAATAGCCACAAGGATGGACTTCAATATACTGGCAATCACAAGAAAGACAGAAGACCAGGCAACATTTCATTCTATTGTAATGTAAGGCCACCATAAGTCAGAGACTATTTGATGACAGCCATCTATCATCTATCTATCTATCTATCTATCTACCTACCTATCTATCAGCTTTAAACAACACAAATTTATTATCTTCTACTTTTGGAGGTCAGAAGTTTGCAGCACCTACT